CCTGCACCTGATATTTAGCACGCAGGTAATAATTTCCCAGATGCCAAAGAATTCCTCCTACGTGTCTGAGCGTTTCCAGGGAAGGTGGACAACACCGCGGGTGTTTTCCTGGTGAGCTCATCACTGGAAGCAGGCGGGAGAGAATGATAAGTATTTATTTCACTTTCATCCTGAAGCGCTCGAGGTGATGTAGGTGGAGACGACTTGCCCAAGAGCTTCGCAGCCCTGTGGAAGATTTTAACCCAGGCCTCCCATGTTCTGCTCTCTCACTTAAAATAAGGTTACCAGATTTTTTTTTTTCCCAAAGAATCTGGAGGCACTTTTTTTTTTTAAGAGGAAAAAAGTTATTTAAAAAAGAATTAGTATCTGCTCTTCTGTGGTCTCCTCTGTCATGCGGCCTTCCTCTGGGCCCCGGCCTGCTCTCTTGGAGTGCTAGCCGCTGTGGAGTAGGCTGGGCTCGGGACTGGGCTCGGCCATGTGTCCCTGCCCTCCCGGTGTTCTCCTACCTCTCCTCCTTAGTGGCAGCGGCGGCAACAGCGTGGCAAGGTCGGGGTTCCCCTCTTTTTTCTCCTTCCTCTTTCTTTTTTTTTTTAAATGATATTTATTAAAGTTTCAAAAAATACAAGAAATACAAAATACAGAAAAAAGAGTAAAGTTTTTTAAAGTACAGTGGTGCCTCGCAAGACGAAATTAATCCGTTCCGCAAGAGTCTTCGTCTAGCGGTTTTTTCGTCTTGCGAAGCAAGCCCATTGACGGATTAGCGCTATTAGCGCTATCAGCTGTTTAGCGGCTATTAAAGGCTTAAAGGCTTAGGGGATTAGCTGCTAAAAGGCTATTAAAGGCTATTAAAGGCTTAGCAGATTAGATAAAGGGGGGGAAAAGCGAAAAAAATCTCAGGACTCGCAAGGTATTTTCGTCTTGCGAAGCAAGCCCATAGGGGAATTCGTCCTGCGAAGCAACTTCAAAACGGAAAACCCTTTCGTCTAGCGGTTTTTCCGTCTTGCGAGGCATTCGTCTTGCGGGGCACCACTGTATAACAAAAAAGTAAAGGATAAAAAAGAAACATACAAAATAAAACAATTAAAAAGACATTAATTTTCCAAACCTATCTTCCCTAGACTTATTTCCCCGGACCTCTTCATACCTCCCTTTTTTGTATTCCAGTTCAGTTTGTTAGTTCAGCAAATCCTTACCATTAAACTTTTGCCCAATTGTAAACCTTTTTTCATATCTCTTAAAGCATTACAGCTAAAAACCTCTTTGTTTCTATCCAACATCCTTCTAAGATTCCGTAATTTTACAATATTTCTGTAAATAGTCTTTAAATTTCTTCCAGTCTTCTTTCACCGACTCTTCTCCCTGGTCTCGGATTCTGCCAGTCATTTCCGCCAATTCCATGTAGTCAATCACCTTCATCTGCCATTCTTCCAGAGTGGGTAGATCTTGTGTCTTCCAATACTTTGCGATGAGTATTCTTGCTGCTGTTGTAGCATACATAAAAAAGGTTCTGTCCTTCTTTGGCACCAATTGGCCGACAATGCCCAGAAGAAAGGCCTCTGGTTTCTTTTCTCCTTCCTCTTTCTCTCTCCTCCTTCTCTCTGCATTGGCTCCAGGGTTTTCCGGGGTTGACGCGCCGGGCGTCCCGATTTCCCCGCGGCAGCGGCAGCGGCACTCTCAGCAGCCCGGAGCCAGCCTGGTAGCGTAGTTGATGTCCCCGGAAAATCGGGAGACTTGGAAGGCATGCATCAAACAGAAAATACCCCAAACTGGAGAGTCCCCAAAAAAGCCCATGTTCAGGGGAGGAAACCAGAAAATTTAGAGCAGGGTGGGAAGTCCAGTGTGGTGTAAGAGTTAGAGCAGAGCTTTCCCAGCTTTTCATGATGGTGACATGCTTTTTAGACATGCATCGTTTTGCAATACAGCAATTCAGTTTTACTAGCAAACCAGAGGTTAAATTCGCTCCTTTCCAGCCCCGGGAGGAGGATTCACAAGACACACCTACACACTGCAGCCGACACACTAACATGTCGTGACACACAGTTTGGAAAGCTCTGAGTCTGAGTGTCAGACTAGGACCTGGGGGTAAAGGTAAAGGGTAAAGGGACCCCTGACCATTAGGTCCAGTCGTGGCCGACTTTGGGGTTGCAGCACTGATCTCGCTTTATTGGCCGAGGGAACCAGTGTACAGCTTCCGGGTCATGTGGCCAGCATGCCTAAGCCGCTTCTGGCAAACCAGAACAGTACATGGAAACACCATTTACCTTCCCGCCGGAGCGGTACCTATTTATCTACTTGCACTTTGACGTGCTTTCGAACTGCTAGGTTGGCAGGAGCTGGGACCGGGGCCTCACCCCGTCGCGGCGATTCAAACCACCGATCTTCTGATCGGCAAGCCCTAGGCTCTATGGTTTAACCCACAGTGCCACCGGCATCCCTACTAGGACCTGGGGGACTGGGGTTCAAATCCCCACATAGCCATGAAACTCATTGGCTGAACTTGGGCCAGTCGCTCCCTCTCAGCCTCAGTTACCTCACGGGATTGTTGTGAGGAGTAAATGAAGAGTGGGGGAGGGGTTAGAATCATGCACACCACTTTGATCTCCTTGCAGAAAAAGGTGGGATATAAATGCCGTAAATAAAATACATACGTCTTAACAACTGCACCCTACGCTGTTGCCGGGGGGGGGGGTCCCAGCTGTGCGTTCTGCTTCCAGTTTAATTCTTTGAGTGGTATTTATTATTCGGTTAATTTTCCCTTTACCCTTTAAGCGTTTCTCTCCCCCCCAGACACACACACCAGTCCTTACAAAACAATGAAAAAACCAAAAGAAGGAAGAAGTGGTATTTATTATTCGGTTAATTACGCATCCCTCTGCTTAAGGTCCAAGGGCAGCTTCTGACAATTTAAACTGCTTTATTAAAAACGGTTTAAAACAAATTACAGCTGCAGGGATAGGGCGGGTCTTAAAAACATGCATATCGGGCATTCAAGGGTCAAGGTGGAGAAGTTCACCTTTGGCACAGGGTGAAAACTGCCAAGATAAATTGCCAGATGCATTGCTGGAGGGGAGGGGGCAAAGTTCAACAGTTCAAAGGCTGCCACAAATGATGCCTTTCCCTGAGTCATTGCTGCCAGCACCTGAATTTCTGAGGGCAACAGAACTACCAAGATCTTGCTGATCTTAATGCCTGAAAGCATGGGTAGGCAAACTAAGGCCCCGGGGGCCAGATCCGGCCCAATCGCCTTCTAAATCCGGCCCACGGACAGTCCAGGAATCCGCGTGTTTTTACATGAGTAAAATGTGTCCTTTTATTTAAAATGCATCTCTGGGTTATTTGTGGGGCATGGGAATTCATTCATTTTTATTTTTATTTTAAAAATATAGGCCGGCCCCCACAATGGTCTGAGGGACAGTGGACTGGCCCCCTGCTGAAAAAGTTTCCTGACCCCTGCCTGAGAGGGTCTTTCTAATAATAATAATAATAATAATAATAATAATAATAATGCTTCATTTAGACAGGAGCAACCCCTAAGTCTCCGTGTCTTCTCTGTTCTGCTTCCTTAATAAAGAAACTAACTGTAAGTTAGCCGGCGTTTCACTGTCTTCCTCTGATCTGCAAACAACCTTTTCTTCTTGTCAGCTCCCCAACATTATCTTTCCACCAGTTGGCTAAGACTTTCCTTTTCAGACAGGCTTTGGGGAACCATGGTTCGGATGATCACTGGGCTATCGTCAGGGCCAATTGCTGGTTCTGAATGTGTTTTGGCTATTGTTTTTAACTAGTTTGCTTTTTTTTTTTTTGCATTTTGTAATGATGCTTAGGGTAAAGGTGGGATATAAAATACAGTGGTACCTCAGGTTAAGAACTTAATTCATTCTGGAGGTCCATTCTTAACCTGAAACTGTTCTTAACCCGAGGTACTATTTCTGGGTTAGCGGAGTCTGTAACCTGAAGCATATGTAACCTGAAGCGTATGTAACCCGAGGTACCACTGTACTGAGCTTGATGAACAGATGAGGCAATGTACTCTGTCCCTATTTAAATGAACCCTTTGTTCGGAACCACGAGGACTACAGTAGATTCTTATTCTATGTTTAAGGGAAGGGCCACAGGTCACTGGCAGAGCATCTGCTTTGCATGCAAAAGGTCCCAGGTTCTGGGAATCTGCTGCCATTTATCATGGAAAATATTGAGCTGGATGGAGCAATGGTTCAAGGCAGCTTCCTGTGTTCCTGCTATGCAAACAAATGACCAAGTGATAAATAAAGCACTGAAAGGCTGATTCATTACAACGTGCACCTTTTAATAATACATTCAGGCACAGAACTGGGAGCCAGAGCAGTACACCAGGGGAGCAAGAAGGCTATTGGAGGAACAGCGATTGCAAATAGCATGGAATACAGGACACATCCTATATTTCAGCTGTGTGGCTGTCTACCAGCCAGACTATCAAAGACAATGTACATACAGATGTTCAACAACTATACTGGTGAAGAGTTAAGCCATCCAGTGATGGATTGAGAAGGTTGGGCAAACCATCGGATGATGTCCACAGAACTGGATTGGCTGACAACAAAGTAGATCCTGTCCACCATTTCCCCTCCAGGTTGTGTATATCTGTTTTAAGAGCAGATATGAAGGGTCATATGCAGCTAAGTCACACTCAGAGCAAACCCACTGGATTGTAGCCAACTACTCAGAGGAGACCCATTGCAAGTAATGGACTCTAAGTTAGCCGTGTCCAGCAGGCCTTTTCGGAGTGGGGTAAACATTGGCCACTGAAATTAATGGGCTTAGGTTAGGGTAGAAATAACATGATGTTACAACGAAGTTCACAGCAAGATGGAAGTCAATGAAGCTGACACCTGGGTGTTACTTCCTGCATCCATCTCCAGCCCTCCTTCTCTCGTGGGTTTTTGCTTTGGCTGTTTATTTCAGGGGTTTCTTAGCAGCACTTTGGATCCTGGGTCTGTTGAGGAGGACACTTTTGCTGTGGAGGGAGGCAATCCTGCTGAGGAGGACACTTTTGCTGTGGAGGGAGACAGTCCTTCTGAGGAGGACACTTTTGCTGTGGAGGGAGACAGTCCTGCTGAGGAGGACAACACTGAGGAGGAACCTGGCAAGGCTGCTTGCACTGTTGCTGCTGCTGTGACATCTTGGATTGCTGGAGAAACTTGGAGGAGGAAGAAAAAGAACACGATTCGCCATTACTGATTGCACTGATGCTTCAGAAGATTAGCAAAATAGAAGGGAAAAATAAACAATTAATGGAATAAGTGGGCATGTCTTGATAGGTGTCAACTTTAAATCAGGGCTGGAGAGTCATATCTTCTCCCAAAGAATCCTGGGAACTGTAGCTTGTGAAGGGTGCTGAGAGTTGTAAGGAGAACACTATTCCCCTTTCAGAGCTACAAATCCCAGAGCAATTTAACCAACAATCCCAGGGAACTCTGGGGACTGTAGCTCTGTGCAGGGAACTGGGGTCCCCTAACAATTTTAGATGCCTAGAACAGATGGGGGCAGTATTATTAAAAAAAGAAAATACAGATTGAAAACAAGAATTCAGTAATGGCAGCGTCCAATCCTTTGGTGCAGAGCAAAAAGAGATGGCCTTATAAGCATCTGAAGCAACTGTTGGGTGAAGCTTCATCAGAGACAAGGGCATTCCACAATGATTGTGGATTGGGTTGCTCAACCAACTTTCCATCCACCTTACAGTAGCATCACCCAGCCCATGCATTCCCTACTTGTCAACAAGCATATCATTGACAAATCCTTCAGTGAAGTCAAGATACACTATGTGAATGGTTTTCCCATGATCTGCCTCCTCGGTGGAGAACATTAGTAAATAATAATTATAATTATGAACAATGACATTAGGCATGTCTGAGGCTGCTAGCCTAGGTACATTAGCTAAGTAATATCCCACTGAGTTTGGTGGGGCTTAATTCTGAGTAAACTTTCCAGTCACCTCTGCTTTCTCCTGAAGATACATCCTAGACCACCCCAACTTGCTGCCACCTAGACAAACCCCCATCATCCCTGACCATTGCCCATGCTGGTTGTGGCTGATGGGAGCTGTAGCCCAACAACACCTCCTTTAAACCTCCACAAGTGTATTTTACATGGGATCCCTGATTGGTTGGGCCAAGTGTCTAAGACAGGGCTGGGGAACCTGTCCCTCAAGATGTTGCTGGGCCCCATCTCTCATCAACCCTGGCCATTGGCCACTGGGAATGATGGGAATTGGGGTGCAGCCACATCAGGAGGATCACAGCTTCCCTCTCCCAGAAATAAACAAATGCCTTTCCTGCACCTAAGTTACCTCCATTGCAACACTTCATTCTTCTAATGCAAAGGCAGGACTCCAACTCCCATCTCCCTTGACCATGCTGGCTGCTGGGAGCTGGAGTCAAACGACATCTTGAAGTCACCAAACTGGAGAATACTGCTATGTTCTGAAATCTAGCTTCGTCAGGAACATGCAACTTCCCACCCCCAAAAAAGCTAACTAATTCTACTTACCTGATGTAACGTTCAGTCAAGGCTCAATCAGGCACGAGAAGCAAAGTTTAGTGAAGAGTCCTAGGAAGTGAGGGACTTTTTATACACTCACTTCATACGTTGGTTTGATTGAGTAAGGAAAAGGGGGGGGAGATGTTTCACCTGGCTGAGCAAAGGATGCTTTTGCAATCTCGACATGTCCATGCAGCAGCAGCATCAGAACAGTCATGTTCCAAGGTATCATTATTTTTGGGGGAAGAAGAGTTCATTTCTGGGTCCATGCATTGTGTCAACGAGAACCCCACCTAGATATTCATTGGAAAGGAAGAAGCATTGTCATCATCTGTCTTCTGCCTCATGTTGCTTGCGCAACGCAGGAAATCACCTAACCAGTTGACAAAACGCCCCCCCCCAAAAAAAAATTAAAATAGCTGCATAACTGGGAATGGAGAAGAAATGCAGTTTGCATTTTAATCAAATGTTTATTTCAACTTCATTAATAAGGCAACCAAAGGCAGGCTGCAGCTAAGCAGAATAGTAAGAACGTAAAATTTACTTAAGAATTATACATAAAAATATATAAGAACTTGGCTACAGTAAATAGAACATGCATAAAAAACAGAATCTCAAATATCAAGGGAGGCTTCATGATCTGGTCAAAGCTGAGCAGCCTCCACATCAAATTTATCTGCATGATGCTCTACAGACCTGTCTGAACCGAACAACAGATATTTAATCTTTCCCATATTGCCACGGGTAGCAACCACTGCTAAAACTTTCCCTGAATATTTTTGCCTCAGGCAACTGTCATGCTATACATTTAAAGCACTCTGATAGCACTTTAAGCAGATAAAGAATTCTGAGAGCTGTAGTTTGTTAAGGGTGATGAGAATTGTTATGAAGTTCATAGTCCCCTTACAAGAGCTACAATTCCCAGAGTTCCCTGTGAAGAGGGATTGATTGTTAAACTGCTTTGGGAATTGTAGCTCCGTGAGGGGACTGGGAATGGGGTCTCCTAACAACTATCAGCACTCTTGAGAAATTATAGTTCCCAGGATTCTTTGTGGGGAAGCCATGGTTATCTAAAGTGGTATCATAATGAACATGAAGTGAATGTGGCTTAACTTAGGTTCATTCATTTCAGTGGGTTTACTCTGAGTAGAAATTAGTTGGCTACGACCCATAGGGGTTGGGAATATCCTGATCACGATTCCTAGATGATGCAATGCACTTAGTACTATTATTATTGGGTTGGATCCAATGGTACCCCTAACTCAGAGTAGACCCACTGAAGGTAACTAAACATGACTGATTCGGATCCATTAATGTAAATGGGTTTACTTTGTGTCTGACTTAGATACCAGCCATTGTACATAAAAGAGCATATGTTAGTGAAAACAACAAGCAAAAATGCAGTAAATTAGGGTAAATTGCTTTTAGAAATTGTGCAGGATTAATTTTCATGAGGATTTAAAGCAGGCTTCCTCAACCTCGGCCCTCCAGATGTTTTGAGACTACAATTCCCAGCATCCCTGACCACTGGTCCTGCTAGCTAGGGATCATGGGAGTTGTAGGCCAAAAAACACCTGGAGGGCCGAGGTTGAGAAAGCCTGATTTAGAGGGGGGAAATCATCACAAGATAATGTGAAAAATGGGGAGAACTAAACTTAATACAGTGGTACCTCGGGTTACATATGCTTCAGGTTACAGACTCCGCTAACCCAGAAATAGTGCTTCAGGTTAAGAACTTTGCTTCAGGATGAGAACAGAAATCGTGCTCCGGCAGTGCAGTGGCAGCAGGAGGCCCCATTAGCTAAAGTGGTGCTTCGGGTTAAGAACAGTTTCAGGTTAAGTATGGATCTCTGGAACGAATTAAGTACTCAACCTGAGGTACCACTGTATTGGTAAAACAAGAAACTGAGAGAAAAAGAAATTGACAGATTTTTCTATGGCAGCAAAAAAACCTGAGTCATCACAATCCCTATGAGATATAATTGCCTACAAAAATACACATTCCTGCAAAAATAAGCATTCCCTAAACTAACGATGAGTTTTTGTAAGGACTTTATAAACAAACACCACATATAGCGAAGTGTATTTCCTGTGAGTGAATATTTCGCCTGTCAGGCCACACTGCATCATGGGCTTTGGAGTGGTCATGAAGGAAGACGCATTCAAGAACTGTCTGGGACTTGGCTTACAAACGGTAACATCATCGTGCCAAGTGGGGTGGTGATTACTATGAACCAGCAGCACTTGTCACAAGTGTTGCAGTATTGTTGCAGTATTTCGTCTTCCTCTTCAGGATGCCAGCCAGCCATGCCCACAGACATCCCACTCCATTCCATCTCTCCCCCTCCAGCAGATGCCATGTCTGGGTTGCCATATTTCAAAAACTGAAAATCCGGACACAAAAATTGAGCTTTTTTCTTCTTCTTTTTCAAGATCAACACTTCCAATGTGGGCTGCCATATTCCTGTGTTTTCCCAGACATTTTATCCACTTCTTGAAAACCTCACCCGGAAGCCATTTTTTGAAGGATGGATCAAGGCTGGTGAGGACATAAAAGAAACTGTGAGAATCACGAGGAAGGGAGCATTGCCAAAGGTGATGAAACTTTCATGTGCTTCACCCCATTTCCTGCAATCTCCCACAGTCAGAGCTTTATGTCCTTAATTAAGTAATTAATATCCTGTCGGAGCCAAATGTCCTTAATTAATTCCTATTATATATTTCTGTAAAAAAAAGTAATAAATTACTGACTGTTCCCAATGTGATCCCGTAATGCCGAAAGGAACTTCGCCAACATACCAGGAAGACAACTCAAAACAACAGCCACATGGGTAAACAGGTTATATCTATTAAAATAGAACAAATTGAAGAGTTTCAAAAGCAGCCTCAGTAAGCCAAGTTTAACAAGGTAACCAAGCCAAATATGTTTGGAGAGGTGGCCGGAAATCGATGGGGGGCGGAAGTCTCATACCCTCCAACAATTCTCCGGTGAAAATAGGGACGGATGTCCTATTCCATTATTAGTATTATCGTTGTTTTGCCCCAGCCATTCTGAGTGGCTTCCAACATATATAAAAACATGATCATAGAATCATAGAATCATAGAGTTGGAAGAGACCACAAGGGCCATCGAGTCCAACCCCCTGCCAAGCAGGAAACACCATCAGAGCACTCCTGACATATGGTTGTCAAGCCTCTGCTTGAAGACCTCCAAAGAAGGAGACTCCACCACACTCCTTGGCAGCAAATTCCACTGTCGAACAGCTCTTACTGTCAGGAAGTTCTTCCTAATGTTTAGGTGGAATCTTTTTTCTTGTAGTTTGGATCCATTGCTCCGTGTCCGCTTCTCTGGAGCAGCAGAAAACAACCTTTCTCCCTCCTCTATGTGACATCCTTTTATATATTTGAACATGGCTATCATATCACCCCTTAACCTCCTCTTCTCCAGGCTAAACATGCCCAGCTCCCTTTAATGATAAAACATTAAACATTTTTTAAAAAAAACTTCCCTCTACAGAGCTGCATTTGGATTGCTCAAGGGCTGGATAACTCCATAAAGGTAAAGGTAAAGGTACCCCTGCCCGTACGGGCCAGTCGTGTCCGACTCTGGGGTTGCGCACCCATCTCGCTTAAGAGGCCGGGAGCCAGCGCTGTCCGAAGACACTTCCGGGTCACGTGGCCAGCGTGACAAGCTGCATCTGGCGAGCCAGCGCAGCACACGGAAACGCTGTTTACCTTCCCGCTAGTAAGCGGTCCCTATTTATCTACTTGCACCCGGGGGTGCTTTCGAACTGCTAGGTTGGCAGGCGCTGGGACCGAGCAACGAGAGCGCACCCCGCCACGGGGATTCGAACCGCCAACCTGACGATCGGCAAGTCCTAGGCGCCGAGGTTTTACCCACAGCGCCACCCGCGTCCCCGGATAACTCCATACCCTCCAACAATTCTCTGATGAAAATAGGGACATCCTAGGGAAAACCTTTTAATGAGGGTGAAAGAGGAGAGCGCAAAATATGGTCTGAAGCTCAACATAAAAAAAACGAAGATCATGGCCACTGATCCCATCACCTCCTGGCAAATAGAAGGGGAAGAAATGGAGGCAGTGAGAGATTTTACTTTCTTGGGCTCCATGATCACTGCAGATGGTGACAGCAACCACGAAATTAAAAGACGCCTGCTTCTTTGGAGGAAAGCAATGACAAACCTAGACAGCATCTTAAAAAGCAGAGACATCACCTTGCCAACAAAGGTCCGTATTGTTAAAGCTATGGTTTTCCCAGTAGTGATGTATAGAAGTGAGAGCTGGACCACAAAGAAGGCTGATGGCCGAAGAATTGATGCTTTTGAATTATGGTGCTGGAGGAGACTCTTGAGAGCCCCATGGACTGCCAGAAGATCAAACCTCTCCATTCTGAAGGAAATCAGCCCTGAGTGCTCACTGGAAGGACAGATCGTGAAGCTGAGGCTCCAATACTTTGGCCACCTCATGAGAAGATTAGACTCCTTGGAAAAGACCCTGATGTTGGGAAAGATGGAGGGCACAAGGAGAAGGGGAAGACAGAGGACGAGATGGTGGGACAGTGTTCTCGAAGCTACTAGCATGAGTTTGACCAAACTGCGGGAGGCAGTGGAAGACAGGAGTGCCTGCCATGCTCTGGTCCGGGGGGTCACGAGGAGTCGGACACGACTAAATGACTAAACAACAACAACAAATACCGCTTTAAATGCACAGTGCAGATGAGGGCTGAGGACAGGAAAGGTTTAGTACAATCCGCACTTTTTTTTTTTTAATCTACAGGCCCCCCAATCAAATAAAGTTATGGGAACTCTGGGTGTTGGGGCTGGAGGAAGAGGACTAAAGTTCAGCGGAAATTACGCAGCGAGTTCCCGTAAACAGCGAGACAATTGATGTTTCTAACACGAATGCTCACGCATCATTTATGATGCATAATGGATTGAGGAAATGCTTTCCTCTTTCTCAGAAAGCAGTGCTCAGAGGATGATGCAGCCAATAGTGGCCAAAGGTATCATCATCATCCAATTAACAATTAGGTGGAGTTTCTGCTGGGGAAGAAAATAAATAAATAAATAAACGGACTCTCCTTCCCAAATGATCATGCAATCTTCCTCCGTGACTACCCTGCTGATGCACACAAACAAATTAAGATCACAAATTAAGATCTACTCAACAACTGGAGAGGGTGTTCCCCTTTTGATTTTTGATTTATTTATTTATTTTGGACGGGTTTCCGATGCAAACAGGAACTTAATGTTGGCATATATATAGGACCTCGCCTCTGCAGGCTCCTCATTCTACTTTGCTACCTGACCACTTGAGCGTTGACCGTTTCTGAGCTTGGGTAAGCAGCGCTGGTTGTTATGTTTTGGGGGTGTTTGGTTTTTTTTCCAAAGGCTGCTTTTGTTGTCAAGACTGGTTTTAAGATGGTGGTTTTGGGAGGGGAAACTGTGGGTGGCGTAGGTGCCAACTCCCTGGGGCCCTGGGTGCCCGAGCACCCACAAAATTCCCCGTGAAGGGGCTGGGCAACCACAAATTTCAGTGCCAGGGCCATGAAAGCTTCATGGCTCAACACTGGATCTGGCCTGGTGGAAGGCTCTGTCTCATGAGACCAGGGCCCTGCAGGATCTGATTTCATTCCGCAGAGCCTGTAAGACAGAATGGTTCCACCTGGCCTTTGGCTTGGAACCAGCCTGATCCCCTCCCCATCTTTCCTTTTCCTTCTGTGATCGAACCCCTATTTGGGGACTTCCCTGGCTTTTTTCTGGCTCACTTAGGACCAGTCTGGATAGTTGGCCTTGGTGGAAAATTTGATGTTTTTGATCCGGGCTTCCACTGAAATGAGGCTGCATTTTAAGTTGTATCTTAATCCTGTTTTTAAGTTATATTTTAATCCATTGTTTTTATACTTGATGTTAGCCGCCCTGAGCCCGGTCTTGGCCGGGGAGGGTGGGGTATAAATAAAATTAAATAAATAGATAAATGGCAATCATGGCCCCGGGCACTCATGGTTTGCAGGGCCAAGTTGGTACTCCTGTTGGATGGAACATGGGAAGTTGCCTTATATACTGGCTTGGCCCATTGGTCTATCTAGCCTGGTATTGCTAACACTGATTCGCAGTGACTCTCTAGGGTTTCCGATGGGGAGATTTTCCATGCCCTACTTGGAAATGCTGGGGACTGAGCCCAGTACTTTCTTCTGCAAGTCAGGTGATCTCCCACTGTGGTTTCATATTTCCCAAAGATGATCCAAATGGGACATTGCTTGTCGACATGAAGAGGGCCGAGAGGCCAGCTGGCTAGCCCCAGCTGGGCCGTCTCCTTCCAGCCATCCCGCTGCGTAGACCATCACCTCTGCTCTAACGTAAATCAGCGACCTGGCTTCAAAGCCTGGGCACACTATCAGCAGATTGAACTGAGCACACAGTATAGGTGTGAGGCTTGTGGAAGCATACTACAACTACAGATTTATTAACCATAAATCAGGACAAAGAAACATGTCGTCTCTCTCTCTCGTCGTCTCAGAGAGAACAGCTAAAAGCAAAAGCTATACATACAACGGAAGTTCTCGGCTTACTGTGCTGGAATGTAAACAGACATGTGACACATAACAATCCCTTGTCTGTTCCTTAAGGTGGAATGGAAATGTCAACATTGATATCTGACAAGGCGGAGTTAAATGATGACTTGCAAAGCTGTGGTTTTCCCTGAAGCAGGGATGGGGGACCTGTGGAACTTCAGATGTTGCTGGAGTTCATCTCCCATCATCCCTGATGGGAGCTTGAGTCCAAGGATATTGGACTACAACTTCCATCATCCCTAACCATTGACCAATGCTGGCCAATGGGTTGTTGAGAGTTGGGTCCCAACTGGTGGGTTGTTGAGAGTTGGGTCCCATCAACGTATGGAGGGTCCTGGGCTCCTCATTCCTGCTTTACTCCTCTGTAGGTGCATTTAATATGTGATCCCTGATTGTTTGGGACATGATTGGTCAAAGGCAGGTCTACGCCATGACTGTTCAAAGTGGTAGCAATAGTGGTTTTCATTCACAGTGAATGTGACATAGGGCAGGAGTGGAAAGTAATGGATTCCCTCCCAAAGAATGCTGGGAAACGTAGTTGTTATGATGCTGAGAGGAGACTCCCTATTCCCCTCAGAGAGCTACAATTCCCAGAGTGGTTTATCAACCCCTCCCTCTTTCCAGAGATCTCTGGAAATTGTGAGAGCACTTGACAAACTATAGTTCCTACCATTCTTTGGTGGAAGCCATGACTTTCCTCAAATGATGTGATACTTCTTCAAATGTACAGTGCAAATGAGGCCTAAATAAATAAGGTGGTTCTGGTCCCTGGTTCTTTGAATTTCACACCGCTGAAAATTCATGCATTGGGTACTATTTTTGTTATATATATATATGGTATATGGGTAACTGTGCCCCTGAAGGCACCAGGTGCACAGCCTGGGAGTCATTTTGGACTCACAGCTGTCCATGGAGGCACAGGTCAATTCTGTGTCCAGGGCAGCTGTCTACAAGCTCCATGTGGTACGCAGGCTGAGACCCTATCTGCCCGCGGACTGTCTCGCCAGAGTGGTGCATGCTCTGGTTATCTCTCGCTTGGACTACTGCAATGCACTCTTCGTGGGGCTACCTTTGAAGGTGACCCGGAAACTGCAACTAATCCAGAATGCAGCAGCTAGACTGGTGACTGGGAGCGGCCGCCGAGACCACACAACACCAGTCTTCAAAGACACCGGTCTTGGCTCCCAGTACGTTTCCGAGCACAATTCAAAGTGTTGGTGCTGACCTTTCAAGCCATCGGTCCAGTATACCTGAAGGAGCGTCTCCACCCCCATCGTTCTGCCCGGACGCTGAGGTGCAGCGCCAAGGGCCTTCTGGCAGTTCCCTCACTGCAAGAAGTCAAGTTACAGGGAACCAGGCAGAGGGTCTTCTCGGTGGTGGCGCCCACCCTGTGGAACGCCCTCCCATCAGATGGTCAAAGATAAGAATAACTTCCAGACTTTAGAAGACATCTGAAGGCGGCCCTCTTTAGGGAAGCTTTTAATGTTTGATGCATTACGGTATGTTTTGTTGGAGGCCGCCCAGTGTCTGGGAAGGCGCAGCCAGATGGGCAGGGTATAAATATTAAATTGTTGCTGTTGTTGTTGTTGTTATATATTAAAGATCTCTCTCTTTGTCTTCTAGGCTTCTCTAAATCAGCAGAAGATGTCTTACCAAAGTCAGCAATGCAAGCAAACTTGCCCACCCCCTCCTCAATGCAAGAAGGCACCTCAGAAGTGCTGCCCCCCACCTCAGCAGTGCTGCCCCCCACCTCAGCAGTGCTGCCCCCCACCTCAGCAGTGCTGCCCCCCACCTCAGCAGTGCTGCCCCCCTCCTCAGCAGTACTGCCCCCCTCCTCAGCAATGCTGCCCCCCTAAGCAGTGCTGCCCTCCCAAACAGGACCCCCCATGCTGTTAAGCGACGTCTGCCACAGCCTACCCAGAGAAGTCCCCGCAAGGAGAAGGGTAGGAGGGAAGGAATGGAATATGGAAGCATGGTCTGATATTTATGATCCCATTCGTTTTCCATCCACCTTTGCTGTCGGCTCCATTCTAGCAAACACTTTCCTACCTCTTTCAAAAAGGCAAGCTGAGAAGAACAGAAAATCTGGGAATCGATGTATCCAGGGCACACAGGACCCCAGCCCATCTAGTCCCGTCAACATCAATGGACACTCATCTAGTCATCAGCTCAGAACATCAATAGCCAATGGATATCTGTGTGTCTCACCCTGACAGACCTTGTGAGCGCTCAGCTGAAGAGTCCTGTCTGGAAAAAAACCTTCTTTGCAACCTAATTTCCCCTATATTTATTTTATGATGTATCCAAAATAGCACATTGAATCATCCGATTCACCCTTTCCCCCTTACAATATTTCTTTTCTTCCAATGTATTGCTCTGGGCTCTGACGGCAAGATATTATTAAAATTTATGCACAAGCATCAGTCTGCCTTCTCAAAGTCGTTCTTCCCTGTGTGTCTTATTGCAGGATTTGTACTGCAATGGTTGCTCTGGTCTGACCACTGGGAGCTGGTCCCTGGCAGGGAAACCTGAGAAGTGTGGGTCCAGTGTAGTGTAGTGGTTAGAGCATGAGGCTGGGAGCTGCAAGACCAGGGTTCTAGTCCCCACTCTGTTGTGTTCCAAAAGCAAGGAAGGATTGGACTCTGATTAATAAAATACACACGAGGCTTGACCAGCAGACTCTGGGAGGAAGTGCGAATAATAATCTGCCCACCCCTTGGCCCAGGTCGTTTTATTCACAAAAGAACTTTTTACACAGTGTTCGTAAGAACCAGTCAGATTTCCTCTGAGCATTTCAAAAAAAACCCACGTGGGATAAAGTCAGATCAGAAGAAATCCTTTTAACTACAAAGAAACTATTTCCTACTTGAGCATGCATACGTAGTTCAGAGTACATAAAACAGGAATCCAGGAGGAATGCTTTTAGCAAACCCCGGAGGTCATAAACAGCAGTAAACAGGAGACGAAGGATGTCAAGGAAAGATAGGCATCTTTATCATCTTGTGAACTCTCCTCCTGGTCCTTAGATTAACAAAACTAACAAAACTACATCAAAAGCTACCTTCTATCTTTATGACCCAGGATGCCTGGTGATCAACTGGCCTGTGTTTAGAATGCTTATACGTGCCTGTCAGGCGTAGAGAAAGAAAATGGCAGAAGTGCAGAGGCTTGTGGGATTTGATCAGAAATTATTGTCAATGAATCAAGCCCACTCAAAGCAATGCTTTCATCACTGACACAATGGCGTGCTCCATTTTTCATAATTCCTCATAGCAATTCCACCTGACCCCCACATCACTCAACCATGAAGCTCTCTGGGTGAGAGGATGGGGAGAACCATGTATATAGGAGACTATGGTCCTTCAGATCGCCTGGACCTAACTGTACAGGGCAGAGCTGTCCAAACTGTGTGACTTGACAAGTTTGTGGGTCGGCTGCAGTGTGTAGGTGTGTCATGCGAATGGTCTCCACGCTCCTCCCGGGGTTAGTTTAACCTCCAGTTTGCTAGTAAAACTGAATTACCGTATCACAAAATGATGCACATCTAAAGTGTGTGTCACCAACATGAAAAGTTGGGAAAGCTCTGATATAAAGGTAAAAGGTGAAGGACCCCTGGACAGTTAAGTCCAGTCAAAGGCGACTATGGGGTTGCGGCGCTCATCTCACTTTCAGGCCGAGGGAGCCTGTTTGTCCACAGACAGTTTTCCTCATCATGTGGCCAGCATGACTAAACCGCTTCTGGTGCAATGGAACACCGTGACTGAAACCAGAGCGCACGGAAACACCGTTTACCTTCCTGCCACAGCGGTACCTATTTATCTACTTGCCCTGGTGTGCTTTCGAACTATTAGGTTGGTAGGAGCTGGGACAGAGCAACGAGAGCTCACTCTGTCATGGGGATTCAAACCGCCAACCTTTTGAATAGCAAGCCCAAGAGGCTCAGTGGTTTAGCCAGGTATGGCCAAACTTGGTCCTCCAGCTGTTTTGGGACTACAACTCCCATCATCCCTAACTAACAGGACCAGTGGTCAGGGATGGTGGGAATTGTAGTCCCAAAACAGCTGGAGGGCCAAGTTTGGCCATGCCTGGTTTAGATCATAGCGCCACCCATATCCCATGGTATAGGGCTTTATGGACCATAAACAGCACTTTGAATTGTCCCTAGAAATAGACCAATAGCCAGTGGAGCTGTTGTAGCAAGGGAGTCATATGCGCTTCTTACAAAGCCCATGGACCTATAGGAACAACCACATAGCCTCCTACATTTCTCTGGTGTAAATAGGGATGTTCTATTCCAATAGTAACAATAACAACAATAACAACAGCAGCTATTATTATTGTTATTATTATTATTCCACCCATCTGACTGGAGTATACAGGGCTGCCTTCAGACGTCTTCTAAAAGTTATATAGTTACTTATCTCCTTGGCTCTGGGGTCGCATAGCTTCATACCCTCCAACATTCTTCCAGTGAAAATAGGGACATCCTAAGGAAAAGGGGGGTGGGACACGGGTGGCGCTGTGGGTAAAACCTCAGCGCCTAGGACTTGCCGATCGCATGGTCGGCGGTTCGAATCCCCGTGGCGGGGTGCGCTCCCGTCGTTCGGTCCCAGCGCCTGCAGTTCGGTCCCAGCGCCTAGCAGTTCGAAAGCACCCCCGGGTGCAAGTAGATAAATAGGGACCGCTTACCAGCGGGAAGGTAAACGGCGTTCCGTGTGTTGCGCTGGCTCGCCAGATGCAGCTTGTCACGCTGGCCACGTGACCTGGAAGTGTCTGCGGACAGCGCTGGCTCCCGGCCTATAGAGTGAGATGAGTGCAGAACCCTAGAGTCTGGCAAGACTGGCCCGTACGGGCAGGGGTACCTTTACCTTTACCTTTAAGGAAAAGGAGAAGGACATAGGTGACGCTGTGGTCTAAACCACAGAGCCTAGGGCTTGCCGATCAGAAGGTCGGTGGTTCAAATCCCCACGACAGGGTGAGCTCCCGTTGCTCGGTCCCTGCTCCTGCCAACCTAGCAGTTCGAAAGCACGTCAAAGTGCAAGTAGATAAATAGGTACCGCTCCAGCGGGAAGGTAAACGGTGTTTCTGTGCACTGCTCTGGTTTCGCCAGAAGCAGCTTAGTCATGCTGGCCACATGACCCAGAAAAACTGTTTGTGGACAAACGTCAGCTCCCTCGGCCAGTAAAGCGAGATGAGCACCGCAACCCCAGAGTCGCCCACGACTGGGCCTAACAGTCAGGGGTCCCTTTACCTTTAAAGAAAAGGGGGATATTCCAGGATCCAATCAGAAACCAGGACAGCTTCTGTAAATCCGGGACTGTCCCTGGAAAATAGGGACAATTGGAGGGTCTGCAAACCCGCATATTCAATAGTCAAGAATGGCAGGAGTTGTGGTCCGGTAATGTATGGAGGGCCACTCATTTTCCATCTCTGCTGTTTAAGAACCCTCCCAGTACAGTACAGTGATACCTCGGGTTAAGTACTTAATTCGTTCCAGAGGTCCGTACTTAACCTGAAACTGTTCTTAACCTGAAGCACCACTTTAGCTAATGGGGCCTCCTGCTGCTGCCGCACCGTCGGAGCACAATTTCTCATCCTGAAGCAAAGTTCTTAACCCGAGGTACTATTTCTGGGTTAGCGGAGTCTGTAACCTGAAGCATTTGTAACCCGAGGTACCACTGTAGAATCACATTACTATACTATACTATACCATATTTCAGACATCAATATATTTAGAGAAGAGCTGAAGAATCTGGGCTGAAGGATAGGTGAATATGGCGCTGCCCCTCCAAATTCAGCCTTCTTATCTCACAAACAGTCCAGAGTGTTAACACCGCCTGTCAACTTCTGCTCCTTAGTCTCAGGGCTGTTCATTGTAGAACTCAGCTGGGAGGAAGACAGCGACAAAACTAGAACCAGTTGTCTCTGCTTCTCGTTGGCTCTGTCTCCACAAAATGTTGGGCTCTTTGCCTTCCATCCCACTCGTGCCGGAGGGCATCAGCCAACAATGATTTTACATGGGCAACCCAGGAGCTAAAATCAGGAACCAGTGGGAAAGACTGCTTAGCCAGAATAGCAAAACTCGCAGTGTTTCCCAGGCTCAATGTGCTTATTGCCAGATCCGTTTCACAATCCTAAGGACCAGTAACTCATGCATTTCCAGACAAATCCCTGCATGTAGAGAAATGCAGACATGAGGCTCAGCTCTCCTCTCTCACTCCTTGGTCAACATCCAACAGGAAAAAAAGGAGTCTGCCAATTTCAGTGGCTTGTGAAATAACAGTTCATAACGACCGCTCCCCACATTAAATGGGGGGCGCCCTTTGCATGGTCACGCGCAGCTCCCTGGACCCTAAGCGGCACCATTAGCACAGGCTTGGCTTCGCCTTCCCCAGGTGGGATACCTGGAGGTCTCCACCTACCTCAGCCAGTTTCCCAATCCTGCCTGGGGAGGCGTTGACAAGGTGACCAGGCCAGGTAGGGGGAGGGACTACCTGCCCACACAATAAGGGGAGGATCTTACCTGGGAATTGTCAGTTGACTCCAGAGCTTCTCCCACCCTACTCGCCCTCAGTGACCTTCTTTTCCAGGTTAACCTTTTCTCCACAGGTAAAGGAATTCTCCTGCATTGGCAGGTTTGCCTTTCCCGTAACAAAACGTCACAACTTTGGCAGTATCAGGCCTTGGGTGGAATCTATCTTCCCTGAATTGGGGGGGGCGTGCAGCAGTGACCCACGCCCCCCTCCTCTTTGCGGCGGCGATACCAGGGTTCCCTGTTAAAGGGGTTGTTTGAGGGGAGGCTTTGGCCTTACGCTTAGAGGTCGTCATTGCTCTCCCCTGCGACGGCGGTGTAATGGGGGTGGGCTGTCTCTGCTTAAACATATGTTCTCCAGAGCCAGCCCATCCCACACACACACTCTCTGGATAACCCTGATGTTCTCCAGATTCCCGGCGGGGGACTGGGAGGGATAAACGCCCAATGCCTGAGCCAAGGTCTACCCACATCTGAAACATAATAAAGTTGTGGCCAATTTTAATCCCATAGCACGTTGTCTTGGGTCGTTATTCCACACAGGGGCTGCCCAGGGTTTGGGGGACTCCTCCTGTCCACACAATCACTTGTTCCAAGTACAGTGGTACCTCGGGTTAAGTACTTAATTTGTTCTGGAGGTCCATTCTTAACCTGAAACTGTTCTTAACCTGAAGCACCACTTTAGCTAATGGGGCCTCCTGCTGCTGCTGCGCCGCCGGAGCACAATTTCTGTTCTCATCCTGAAGCAAAGTTCTTAACCTGAAGCACTATTTCTGGGTTAGTGGAGTCTGTAACCTGAAGCGTATGTAACCTGAAGTGTATGTAACCCGAGTACCACTGTATTGCTGTTCTGCCCTGCAGATCACCCAGAAGACAGCGTGTCATGCG